CCAGTATAACCACTGCCCATTAAACGCTTTGGGCATGTGCAAAGAGCCCCACCAGCATCGAGCTCCTGTTGAATTCTTGAAGTCCAGAGAGGAGAGGGAGAATTGATGTAACATTTACATCACAGGATAGCCTATGCCATGATCAGCCACTTTCCTTGGCACATGAATCAGGAATCTGGCACATGTAGATGAATGAGTATCTCCAGTGTTTGCACCCATTTCATTGAGAAAGAAGGAGTGAGCTGGAGATATCTGAGTTTCAGCAAGGAAAGAATGTTGGATGCATTCTGTTCTACACCTCTCTCAAGAAAAGGCAGTTGTTTGTTAACTTTTGTTAAAACAGAAGCCTGCGAGGTACAAGCTAATGCCTCTCTCCACAAGGATCAATTCACAGAGGTGATGGAAGGCCTTTAAGAGGTAAAAGGAGTATCAACTGTCTGTGGTCTCATCTTACTCAAAGGAAGGAGGATCAGCATAATCTCATTAAAATTTCATCATGACAGATGGCTAATGTCATCTTTCCAAAGAATGAAGAAACCTAAAATAGTGCCAGACTCCTGGCTAGAGAAAAGATGCACAGGCAGAAAGTGAGTTGTCTGGATGCAACACAGTAAAGGTGAGGAGCAAGAAGTAAGCTTGATGGTAACATCTGGGTAGAGAGTCACTAAACATGGGAACATCTGCAAAGCGGTCCATAGTGAGCCTCTAAGACAAATTGCTGGCTCAGTTCACAGGCTTTTTTATTTTTATTTTTTGTTTTATTTAAATAATATTTTATTAATTCTTTGGGAACGTCATACAGTGTATTTTGATTATAATCACCCCTCCACCATCCCTTCCCAGATCTACACCCACCACCTTACTCACCCAACTCTGTGTCATCATTTTTATTTCTTTAAAGCTCATGAAGTCTAATTTGTGTTACCTCAATGCTCTTGGGTGTCAGTCCATTCCCTGGAGTATGATTGAACTCTCAGTGGTCAAACCCTTAAAGAAAGTGACTTGCCCTCTCACGGCAGCTATCAATTGCCAATAGCTCCTCAGCTATAAGTAGGACTTCTTACTCACCTCCTTCCTCCAAGCTAGGCTTTTGTCTGACTTGATCTTGTACAGATCATCTTGTACATAATGTCACAACCTCTGTGAATTTGAATGTGAAATTGCTGTGTCTGGCAAACACTGTTTCTCTGAGCTTTGGGAAGGTAAGGCATGATCTAGATGTCCCATTTAGGGCTAAAGACTGTGTATAGTCTCTTATTTGCTGCACATTGACCAGTTGTGGGTTAATCACTATTTACTACAAAAATAAACTTCTCTGATGAGGATTGAGAGACGCACTAATCTATGGGTATAATGATAAGTCTTTAAGAGTCAGTTTAGTACTATGACCATCTAGCAGAATATAGTAGTAGGTTCTCCCCTAGGGTATATGAACTATATAGACACAGGCTCTTGGCCACAATAGTAGTGCCCAGTATTGGGTTTCATCTTGTGGTGTGGGCCTTAAATCCAATCAGAAAGTGTTTGGTTAATCCCATAACATTCTTACCACTATTGTACCAGTGGGCATATCTTGCTGGGTAAGTTATTATTGTAGCTCACAGGATTCACAAATGGTTAAGACTGATGGCTACTTTTCTCCTCCAGTAGTGGGCATAGAAATTTCCAGCATTATGAAAGCTAGCCAGTAGGGATAAAATTTTGAGGTCAGTAGCAACCTGATTTCTCCTTGTTCTATGACACAAGTATGTAGTGTTTTCAGAAACTTGGCATCACCATCGAGTTATGGAGGTTAACCAAGAGCAATAGCCAGTGATGTTGATGGGTCTATGGGACTCCATTGACCAACAACTCCAAAGAAAGGTAACCCATTCCTAGCAATGGGCTTTTGACTTGCTAGCCTGGACTTACAGGCTTCTTGAGTGGCATTTTCAAAACATCCCACATTCTGTGTCCTTATTCCATATCCAGAAAGGGGACTCTTGGTGAGCCATCCCCCAAACATTCACTATAAAGAGAAGACACCCTAGTGGGTGGCATGGATGTTCTTGCTCCTAGGAAGGTGGCTTTCTTCAGATAAAGTTATGAAGTGGGATTTAGCTTACATGTCAGTCTCTCCAGTCTGGTTTATAGTATAATTACCCACGGTTTCTATTTTTTCATGAATATTCTGCCAACAAGTCTTGGTGAGAGTAATAGGTCAATGTCTGAATCATAGTCACATTGGGTATGCTGTTCTACCCCTGCTGGGCTCCTGAAAACAAACAGAAAGAAACCATAACCATGATTGCATGTTAGAACACTTTTATTAGTTCAGATATTGTGCTTGTTGGTATTTAACCCCTGTTCCTCCAAAGGCAATCAATGATCTATTTTATATGTTTACATATTTGCTTTTTTCTGGCCTCTAATTTATTTTACTTAGTACAAGTTTTTGAACTTTGGACTTACTGTAACATGTATCAATACTTTATTCCTTTGTATGGCTCAATAGTATTTCACTGTATAGATATACCACATTTTGTTTAGTCATTTACCTATTGAAAGATAATTGTTTAAATCTTGTGGTTCTATAAAACAATGCTGTTTTCATAGGGACGTCCCTTGATTCAATAATTGCTAAAGCCTTTGGTGCATTTTTTCTTTTCTCTGGTAGAGTCTTATCTAGTCATTGGCCTAGACTTCTCTTCAGCATTGCACAGGGTAGAAACTGGATAGCCTGAGAGGTACCTTGTTCTGGTTTGTTTCTTCATTGCTGTGACAAAACACTCTGACCACTACCAACTTGGGGAGGAAAGGATTTATTTATCTTACATCTCCCAGGTCACAGTTCATCAGGGAGCCCAAGGTAGGAACTTAGGGCAGGAACCTGGAGGCAGGAGCTGGAGCACAGGCCATGGAGGAATGCTGCTTACTGGCTTGCTCTCTTGGTCCCTGCTCAGCCTTTCTTATGTAACACAGGCCCACCTGCCCAGGGGTGGCACCACCCACAGTGGGCTGGGCCTTCCCACATCACTCAACAATCAAGAAAGTGCCCCATGGACATGGCCACAGGCTAGTCCAATGAAGGAAATTCCCCAACTGAGGCTCCCGCAACCCAGGTGTGTCAAGTTGACACTAAAGCTATCCAGCACATACCTACTGTGTACTTAAATCATAATTCCATGGGAGATCTCCTTTGTAACTCTAATCACCTTTGAATCAAGGGCAGCCTTTTAGTCTGCACCTAGGCTGTGAGTTCAATAAGATGATTCTCTAACATCAAAAGATGTGAAAAAAGAAAAGAAACTGACAGAGATGACAACATGAAAGATGACCATTTTATTCCCTTGTCATCTGTGACTTAAAATCATGGGGTTTTGAGTTGTATGTGGCTCGGGAAGCAGCTAAGATCTACTGAAAAGACTTTTCCTTTGATGTTCTGGCCCATCACTTTCATTTCCAAGTTGTGGGAACTTCTATAATGTAGTAATTTGGACGATTAGTTACTTGATTTCTAAAAATAAATGAAGAGAGAAAGCAAGACAGAGAGGAAGGAAGGAAGGAAGGAAGGAAGGAAGGAAGGAAGGAAGGAAGGAAGGAAGGAAGGAAGGAAAGAGGGAAGGAAAGAAGGAAGGAAAGAAGGAAGGAAGGAACGGTCACCACCAACTTCATCTCCCAAAGTCTGGAGAGGATGAATTATCCCTTGGGGATAATTACGTAGCTGTGACCCTTTCGGTCTAGGATGATTACACAGTTCAAGGAAAACATTGTGGCACCAAAATATGCTGAAATATAGTCTGCTTCATTTTTTTCTATTACCCATTTTATTGGGCTTGGGATTTATTCACATATAATTTTGATATATTTCTTTGAAGTAGAAATAACAAAATAATAGTTTAATAGAATACATCAATACAGTGCCTTTTAAAGGCATGTTTATATAGTGATGCTATTAAACTATTAAAAATCATGACTCTGGTCTAGTGGCTCATTAAGATCACCTGGGAAGGCTAAGGAGCTGGATCAGTGAATAAAGTGCTTGGTTCTACACACACGCACACACGCACACACACACATATACAAACCTGCACCTATATACATGTGAACCCACATATACATACACAACACATATGCACACACATATACACAAACAAAAAAACACACAAAAACACAGATCACCCAGAGCACGTAGTAACCCTTGATGCCTAAACACCACTCCAAAGTTCAATTCAGTGGATCTAGGGATGGCCTCAGCAATCTGAACTATTTTACTTGTTTCCATGCATTCCCGGAGTTCATAACAGTTGCAATAGGGTGTGGAAGGTGACACAGAGGCTCTCTTTCCTGTTCTTTAGTTGAGAATCTGGGCAAAAAGTTACATTTGTCCAAGGATATATATGTGAGTTGTAATGCCATTGGGATTTGACAGGGTCTATAAACTCCTATATCATATCTTCTAGAAAGAAAAATGAACCAAAATGCAGGACAATGTTGAGTCCTTGACAAAACAAAACAAAACAAAACAAGGTACCAGTGAGTGACAGTAATGTATATACCCAGATATAGCCAAGGAAGAGCATCATCTTGCCTATTGTGCATGCTTAAAATGGAGGCACGGCTCATACAAAAATACTATGAAGAAGTTCAGTGAGAGGTGGAGAATCTAGGGAGAGAGAAATCTATGAACAAGACTAATGAGTCAGCAAACATGGAAAAGCTTTGTGAGCAGGGGGGCGGCTCTATTAGGGTAACCAAGGCTGAGCCCAATGAGCAATGAGTCCATTAGTTTCCCTGGGGTACACAGAGCAGTAGGCAAGGTAAGAGTGCTAGGTTAACACAGAGAAACATGGTGGGAGGCATCCACATGAGCCCTCACCAGGCCTGGTTAAGTTCTAGCCAGCTTGTGAAGCTGATGGGAAAGTGCTGAGGCAGAAGGAATATACTAAAAGAATCGTTAAATTTAAGAACAAAATGTGCATTTAAGATCCTTAAGTTAAGCTTCTCTTTTTATGTCTTAGAGAAAACAAGGCCCAGAAAGGAGATGTGGTTTGCTTCAAAGTCACAGAACTAAGGGACAGCAGCCTCCCTGCCTCCCTGTCTCCTAATTCTTCCACCATTAAAAACCAAACAAGAGACAATGGACAGCACAGACAAGCCTCAGTCACTGTCAGAGACGTTTCTCTTTCCTGTCCAGCACCCTTCACTCAGCCTGCTCAGTCTGTTGAATAAGCGGACTCTTCAGCTTCTGCTCAGTTTGTAGGATCTAGCAAATGCCGTGGCCATCAGACTCTGGCTCTTACTGTGCTGTGTGTTTCAAGGTAAGTGTCTTCATTTCTTTGGGTCTTGGATTCTCCTTAAGAAAAATGATGAGTGGGAAAAGACAATTTGGGGGCAGGGTGTGTGTGTACCGCAAGTGTGTGCAGGTAGGTATGCCTCTGTGCAAGTACTCTTGGTGACCAAAAGAAGAGGTCTAAGAAGGAGGAGTAGGACAAGGAGGAGGAAGAAGAGGAGGAGAAGAAGAAGTCTGCTGTTGGGTGTCTTGCTCTACCACTATCGTCTTATGCCTTTGTGACAGTGTCTCTCACTGAAACTAGTGCTAGGCTGGAAGCCAGCAAACACAACATTTCCTCCCTGTCTCTGTTCCCCACAACACCAGGGTTACAGGCAGACAGCAACACACAACTTATTTTCTTCAATATATACTTTTTATGGAATTGTGTGCACTTCATACAAAACATCTCAATCATCTCTATACCCCCATGTGACCCCCATAGGCCCCCCGCCCCAATTTCATGCATTCTGTCATATATATAGATATAGATGTAGATATAGATATCATATATATAGATATAGATGTAGATATAGATATAGATATAGATATAAAGGCAGTGAAGTCAAGTTTGTGTACCCAGATATCCTTCTGTGCAAGTTCATCCTCTGGAGTCTAGTCAGCCTATCTAGAGTCTGATGCTTGTGCTTGTTGACTAGGAACTCTTACCCACCGAGCCATCTTTACAGTCCTAGGAAAAGGCAATTCTTATGATAATAATGGAAAGTCTATTCTCTAAACCAGGATGGGTTATCTAAGGACCAAATTTTGTCCATTGCTTCTTTTTGTAAATGAAATTTTATTGGAGCATAGCCATATTGAGAGGTGAAGCTGAGCAGACACAGCAGAGACTGCCAGGTGGTCCACCAACATTAAACTACTTGCTATCTGGTCTTTTACAGACATGTTTGCTGATCTCTGTAAAGGAATATTCCTTCTGCTTATTGCCTAGGAGACACACACATGTACATGCATGTGCATGTTCATTCTTCTATGGTATGTTTATGTATTCATGATCCAGACAAATTTACTGCTTCTGTGCTTGCTTCTAATAGGAAATTATTTGAAAAATATGGCTAAAAATAAAGTCACAAATTCAATGAGTGGTATTAGTATTTCTCAAGTTTTAACAAATTATCAATATTTGGTTAGATTTTATGATAAAAAATACTCTATAAGAACCTATATATATTAAATATATATATATATATAGTAAAACTTTGAGTTTCTCTAAGCATGAGAATGAAAAAAAAATATAGGCATACATGTATGTGTAACTGTATCAATGATCTGAAGTGGTTGGCACAACTGTAATGAGATTGTCACCACTTGATTTTGGTACTCCTGTCTCTTCCAGATGAGTGACAGGCTCTGAGATCCACAGTCTAAATACAAACATTTTACCAGATATTCACAAAATAATAATCAGTTTTTAAATCAAATACATGGTCTAATTTAAAAATAAAACCGAGTTTTGTTTCTGATATTTATATTTTTAAGACTGTGTTTACATAATATAAACAGGGAAATGTTTAAAGAAAAGATCCACCTTGATTGCTGAGTCCCTTTCTCATCCATTCCTATTCGCAATCCACTTCATGAAATCTGAATGTTAGGAATAATTTTTAATTAGAATGTCCTTTTAAAAACTATTATTTCTTTTGTTAGGAAAAGTAAAACCTCTGATACGTCTCTGGACTCCACAGTTGCCACAACTTTATTTGAAGTCAAAGCCACCATAGGCTTCAGCCTCCTGTGACCTCGACCCAGCACACAGGAAGCCAAATAAAGAATTTTGCTTCATCTTCTTCAGACATGACAAAGACCAAAAGAGAAGTTCTGCCTGTGTCACTTGGCTCCATCCTCATCAAAGTTTGCCTCCCACAGAATTTTAATATTCCATCACTGTACTAATTATTTGCCTTTTTAAGATTCTTAGATAGTGTGCGTGTAATGTGCACAAATGTGTCCAGACTTGCACACTAATCCTCTCTTGCCCTTGCCGTCAGTAATTGGGCTAAGTGTCAGGTGGAAGCTAATTAGCGTCAAGGGCTAACCTTTAAAAACTCTCCCTGTTCAATATCTCTCTGATGAAGACTTTGCAGTTAAACATGGTTCTGCTAATGGAAGAAATTTATTACTAAAAGAATGTTATCACACGCATATAGTCATTGGTACATGGTCTTTAGATAGAGACATGTATTACGTTTTGTGTCCATGGCTCCAAGAACAAAACTGAGATGACATCAGATGTTCAATATTGTCCTCCCCCTTCCCAGGACTTTTGTGCAGTGGGTATTTTTCTCACATACACATTCCTCTCTTCAGATTAAGGGGATACTTTTTTAAGTGTTGAGATTTAGTATTTCGTCTTCAGTCTTTGTAACGGCTCCTTATAAAACCATTGACAAGGCTACAACCACACCTTAGGCATCTCAACCTCAAGCCAGAAGTCAGAAGTGTTTTAAGTATAGCAGCAAGGGAACTCAGAACATCCAGATTCTTAAATATATCATAAATATCTATTACAAAGAATATTACTCTTGGTAAGAATGTCCTTTTCTTAGTGCAAGATTTTTCTCTTCATACTTAACCTACCCACAGTTGATGAGGTTATGCATTGTACCTTAATCTGGTTCTATTATGATAGCCATAATTAAAATGACTTTTCTCTGCAGTGCTCAAGGAAAAAGATGATTTTTTTTCCTCCTAACAACTATAAAAACATAATAACAAAATGAATATGGAAAATTTGAAATGATAATATCTCTCCTAATTCTCTCTTTTTAAAGGACATAAAGGGTCAGTTTTAACACAAAGTAATAATTTTTGGGAAGCACAGAGCCACCTGGAGAACTGACTTAAAATTCCTAGGTCTAATTCATACATTCTGTTTTTTCAATTTGGGAGTTGGGCTCAGGTTTGCACCTTCTACTAATGCCATAGGTTACCTGGACATTAATAGTCAGAACACAAAGCTTTAAAAAACACCAATTTCCCTCATTTTTTCCTTATATAATACACAGCTCTCAGTCTTCCAACTCTAACTTTCTGTTATCCACTAGCTATTTATGTATACTACATAGATGACTCTAAGCCCAGTGGAATTTATGAGCTCTGCATTTAAATTCCAAGTCTTCTCTAAAATGAATTTATTCAGATAGATTCATATAACACCACTAATGGGCCAAAGGGGCAGAAACATATTTATAGATTTCACTCTGTGTTGCCATATTGCTTTCTCCTGGTGTTAAGGAATTTATATTTAAATCAACAGATTAAGAGGACCAATATTTACCACAATGTCACCAGCAATGTATATTTGAATTTATTTTTACTTTGTTCTGCTAAGTTAGTCAGTGTAAAATGGTATCTCAAGGTGGATTTAATTTGCACTTTTTGCATTTCTGGTGGAGATCAATATGTTTCCTTGTACTTCTTTGCTATTTATAAGTTTCCCAGAATTACAGTTAAACTTTTTAATCTCTCTTGGGTTTAGGGCAAGGCTTATTGCTTCTTTCTTTAATGTTAAGACAACTGATACTTAACAAAGACCAGACCAAAAGCCATCAAGGGAACAGAGACTCAGGCTTAATCCATCATTCAGGCCAGATTACCTTGGTCTTAAGGCAAAAACCCCTGGGCGAAAAACATGTATGAAGAAAAGTATTCCAAGTCAGAGTCCCTAGGGGAGGTTCTGAGACCAAGATTTGTATTCAGGGAATTATTGGGCAGGTCAATGTCTGGAGGGACTTCAGCATGCTGGGGCTGGCAGTGGGAAATGCTCCACATCTGCTATGTCAGAGATCGACCCAAGGAGCTTCAGGGGTTGAATAACCTCTTTTCTGTCTTGTTTTGAAACAAACGTGTTCCTTCCCAAGCATGTAGAATAGCCATTTGGTGTAACTGCTCAAGGGAAAGGATTGTAAGGCAACTGTTATCAGTGGAATGTCACTTAGTCAGGGCACTCAGGTGAGAATTTTCACACACCAGCATCTACAATCAGCTATTTTCCAGCTGGGAAGACGAAAGCCTCGCACCCAAAGAGGGAATCTAAGTGACGCACCAGTGGGTGCTCTGCAAAAGGAATCTGCTCTTTATTAAAACACTATCTCTTCTTTAGTGTATGTTCTTGTTTTACTTATCTACTGATCTAGTACAAACCATTCCCAAATTTAGCAGCTTAAAACAGCAATAATAAGTCAGAGAACGTGGAGGAGTGTTGTGAAATGCTGTCTTCTGGATGTGAATTAGCCATTGTACTCATGAACTCACTGCAGCTATAGTTACCAGTACAAGACCTGCACAAGATCAAGCCAACAAGATCAGTCAGCATTACAGCAGGCAACATTAATTGGACTTACTGGGTTACCAAAAAATAAAGGAGAGGACATGAAGTGGAGATGGGGATGTATTGGCATGCTTGGGGGGAATGGAAGGATGGGAGTACATATGATCAAGATGCATTGTTTATCTGTATAAAATTATCAAAGGAAAAAATACATAATAATCTATTAAAAACAGCAATAATTAAAATTTAAATGTTGTTCATGTTTGTGAAAGCAGAACTGGGCAGATCCTTGGCCACTTATATTGTACACTCTTTCTTGGTTACATTCAGCTGTTGCCTAGGGAATGGAGGCCAGAGACATGGCCAAATATTCTACAATGCACAAGATGAATATCTATGCCCCTTATTCAACAAGTAATTGATCATCCTCAAATGTTTATAGTATTGAGATGAGAAAACACAATTCTAAATCTCTGGGCTGAGACCTAGTCCTAAGTTTCCATATAAGAAGGCCAAGGACCTTGCTGGAGAACTCAAGTAAAAGGAACTCCTTGGAGGTGACAGGACTACATTTAGAAGAGGCCTCAAGATTCCCTGGGGAGAGAATAAGACAAGATCAGCTACACTGGCTATTTTTTTCATTGCTGGGACTACCTGACAAGAAGCAACATAAGAGAGGAAATGTTTATTTTGTTCCACACTGAGTGGCATATGCTGGTTAGTCTTTGCCAACTTGACACAAACCTAGACACGCATAGGAAGAGGGATTCCATAGTGGGTTGAGACCTCTTATATCAATTAACAATCAAGAAAATGCCTCACAGAAATGGCAACAGGTCAATCTGATAGAGGAGATTCTCTCTTCCTAAGTATGTCTAGGTTTGTGTCAAGTTGAAAAAAACTAAGCAGTATGATCTGCCCCTGTCAACTTGGACACAAAGACACACTTTAAACTATAACATTTGCTTTCTTGTTAGTCTCCAAGATCTCAAGTTAATATGATAATACAAAGCACAGTGTGACTTAGAAGTCCTGTAGTCTTTAAAACATTCCAACACTTTAAAAGTTCAATTCTTTAAAAGTCCAGAATCCCTTAGCTGTGGATTCCTGTAAAATAAAAAATAACTCACATACTTTTTATTTCAGAAGGGAAGAACCAGGGCACAGTTACAATAAAATCAAAGCAAAACTCAAAATCCAGCACTGTAAATCAAGTATAGCTCAATGTCCATCTTCTGGTTCCAAAGGGCTTTGACAGCTCTGGCTCTCAGCTCTTCCATCCACCAAGCATACGTACATTGTCTCATAGGCTCAGGCTGGTTCCACTCCATACCTGTTGCTATTCTTGGTGGTCATCCCATGGTTCTGGTATCTCCAATATCCTAGGGTCTCCACTGCAACTGAGGCTGAACCTTCACCAATGGTCTCTCGTAATCTCAAGGCTCAGTCTTTCTCCATAGCCTCTCCTGGGGTTTTCACCACTACTAAGGCTGAACATTCACCAATGATCTCTCCTGGTATCACAAAGTACCAGACCTCAGATGTTCTCCATAAGCCCTTCATACTGTCAAAACCAGTACTACACAGGAGACTCTTACACATTGCCAAGTTTGGCTTCCAGCTTAAGATGCAGCTTGGCCCCTTCTGGACCACAGCTTCTGTGTGCTGATCCTGAGAAAATACTTCTTATATTTCCCCTCAATAATTCTGGTCCTTTATTAATCACAGTTGGTTTTTCAGCCCCAACTAACCAGCATTCATTGTCACAGTAAAACAAAGTTTTCATTTCCGCAGTACTGATCTCTTGATAATCCCAGCTGAATTTTCAGCCCCAGTTGACCAGAGACCACATATTCCTCATTCAAAATATGCCATGAAAGGCCCCAATAATATTTGATGAACTCTCAAACTTCCCTCTGAAACGTCATAAGCCAGGCCTTAATCATCTGCATCTCAGCATTCTTATTGTCTAAGTTTCCACAGAAAAGCCCATTAAACTCTCAACACTCAATGACTTTTCCATGCCAAGGCTCTAAATTCCTTCCACAATCCTCTCAAAACACCAACATGGTCAGGTCTCTCCCAGCAAGACCTCACGCCCTGGTACAAATTTCTTTTCTAGCTCTCCTCTCTGCTGCTTTGATAAAACATCAGCCAAAAACAATTTGAGGGAGGAAAGAGTTTATTTCACCTTATACTTTATGGTTCATCCTTAGGGAGAGTCAGGGCAGGAACTCAAGGCAGGAGCCTGGAGGCAGGAGCTGAAGCAGAGACCATGAAGGGACACTGCTTACTGCCTTGCTCGGCTACTTACCTTATAAAGCCCAAGCCTATCTGCCCATGGATGGCACCACACATAGAGGACTGGCCCCTCCTACATGAATTAGCATGTCAAGAAAATGCCCCCAAATATATGTCCATGGGCCAATTCGGTGGAAGCTATTCCTCAATTGAAATTCCCTCTTCCCATGCATGTCTAGGTTTGTGTCAAGTTGACAAAAACTAACCAGCACACACCACACACTGTGGGCCAAAATAAACATTTCCTCTCTTAAGTTTCTTCTTGTCAGGGAGTCCCAGCAATGAAAAAAGTATCCAGGCTAGCTGGCCTTCTCTTGTTCTCTCCAGGGGATCTTGGGGCCTCTTCTCAGTGTGGCCCTGTCACCTCCAAAGTGTTCCTTTACTTGAGCTCTCCATCAAGCATCCTTGGCTGCCTTACATGGAGACTTAGGACTAGGTGTCAGCCCAAGGATTTAGGACTGGGTTTCTCATCTCATCACTATGAATATTTGAGGAAGGATGCTTGATCATTGTTGAGGAAGGGGTGTAGATATTCATCTTGTGCATTGCAGAATATTTGGCCATGTCTCTGGGCTCCATTCACTAGGCACCAGGAGGATCCCCCTGTTGGGATCATGAAAAAAAAAAAAATGCCACTTGTCTCTGACATCATACCCCTGTGGAGGAATAATCAACCCCTATTGAGGAGCCCTGTTTTGGAAATACTTACACTTTAGTCCTTTCAGAAGTTGTACTACCTTCTATTGATTCAAACAAGCCCTAAACACAGCCTAATTTCAATGCATATACATGCCAGGAGACACAGGTCCTGGGGAACCAACATCATATAATGTGGAATTGAGACTTATTTTTCAAGGTCACATAGAGAGTCATAGGATCAAGATTCAAGCCCATGTCTGTCTAACAGTAAAACACAGTCTCTCCTTTGTCTGAGCTGCCTATGGCAGGTGCCAAAGGGTTACTTTTACCAATGAACTGTCCTCAATCTCCTACAAAAACATGCTAGAGAAAAGAGAGAGGCTTTGCTCAGGCTTAGTTACAGTTAATGAGGAAAACATTAATCACTTGAAGTGCTATTTGGAGCTCATGAAACTGAAATGAAGCACAATATGAAATGTTCATTTATTTCTGAGGGATTTATTTTCTTAACATTCAGTCACTCAATCCTCCTTCCCTTGAAGTTTGAAAGGAAGAACACTCTTTTAATACATGAAATTCTTTTCTAAGTGATACAAAACAGCTTTCTTCTCTTGGGATGCAGTGTTTGGGAGTCCTCAATAGAGACAGGATATCAATCATATACCCTCCCTGCCAAAGCAGAGTTAGTGCAAGGATGGTTCATACCAGTCCTTCCCACAAGAACTGCATCTTATTGAGGCCTCTATATGACCCAGCCTTATGCCAGAAAATCATCTTCCTGAAATTAAAGCTCAGCTCTACCACTTATCACTTAAACTATATGGATATGGAGAGGTCACTGAAATTTATAGAACTTCAGTTGCTTTATCTATAGGTTGGATGAACTCACTATTACCCTGTAGGAATTGTGTTGAAGAAATAAAATGTGTGTGCACTTGATCCTTCACTGTCCCCTCCTGAAAAAAAGAGGGAACTTCAGTGGATGTCGTGAACCCAACCAAGAGGTCTTTTTGACTCAAGACTTTATCGTTTAGGGAAGTCAACGTAGAGAGAAAGCTACCAGTGGACTGGAATGTGTCCTCTCATCATCAGGACTAGTGGATCCCATACCACAAATTTTGAACAAGTTTCTTCTAATTGCAACATCACCAGTATATCTCCAGTACATTGTTATTGTTCTTGCAGTATGTCCTCAAATAGCCTTCCTAGGAGGAGTTAAGAAAATGCATGATGCAGCTCTTCTATCTCCTATAAACTCAGAGATACACAGTGACTGTTCTCTGTCAGCAGTCACCCCTGGACAACTAAAACCACAGGAATAACTTTATTCCCTACTCCCTCCAATTCTCCAAGAAGATACTGAAAATTATAGAGAGATGATAGATAGGTAGATGATAGAGATAGATGATGATGATGATAGATAGATAGATAGATAGATAGATAGATAGATAGATAGATAATAGATAGGTGATAGATAGATGATAGATAATGGAGGATGACACCCTGTTTCCCTGTAGACAAATAAATAGATAGATAGAGATAGATGATAGATAGATAGATAGATGATAGATGATAGATGACAGATAGGTGATAGACAGATGATAGATGATAGACAGACAAATAAATAGATAGATAGAGATAGATAGATGATAGATAGATAGATGATAGATGATAGATAGATAGAAGATAGATAGATGATAGATATAGATAGACAGATGGAAAGATAGATAGATAGATAGATAGATAGATAGATAGATAGATAGAGATAGATGATAGATAGATGATAGATAGATAGATAGATAGATGA